GTGGAAAATAATTTACACTTACTTTTGAAGCGAATACATAATTATCTCACCAGCATGTCATTGTGCATCAAAGTCGTCAGCATTTTATTTGTCCTTTGAACGGGTGAAACGTTTTGAATTGCACTCTTATCGATGAATTTTACACTAAACCAAGCTATCTTCTCAGGGTAAATCTAGCTTTATTTACCCGCCGTTTCATCTTAAAACCGGAAGTGCGAGTTCGTAAATTTGAAATCTCGATCCCGACTCAAATTTGACATCGGATAGAAAACAAATTGTTTTATTTTTTTCTGAAAATTCAAAACCTTGAGCGGAGGGTTTGTAAAACTGAAAATAAAATAAATCCTGGCCTTAAATATGTAATTAGATCATTAGCATATTAACCAGGAGCAAAGGATAAGATGTTCAAAGAATTCATGCATTTCACTATATAATCATTAGAGCCCCACCCTAAAACAAGAAACCCTGACCCTGGGGCCATAAAATTCACAATTTTGGTAGAGGCACTCTTGCTTATCATAACTATGTACTTAGTTAGTTTATTTAATACCCAGGAGCAGAGAAGAAGATTTTCAAAGAATTCATGTATTTTCATTATATAATCAATAGAGCCCCGCCCTAACACCAGAACCCCTGACCCTGGGGCCATAAAATTCACAATTTTGGTAGAGGCACTCTTGCTCATCATAACTATGTACTTAGTTGGTTTATTTAATACCCAGGAGCAGAGAAGAAGATTTTCAAAGAAATAATGCATTTTCACTACCTACTTTTTTAGCCCCGCCGTAGCACTAGAACTCCTGACCCCAGGGCCATGAATTTCACAATTTTGGTAGAGGACCCATTGCTGATTACAATCATGCAAACAGTTTGACTGCTTGATGTCCAGGAGTAAAGAAGAAGATTTTTAAAGATTGCATTAATTTTAGTGGTTTTGGCCCCACCCCTCAGGCCCCAGGGGGGCAGGGATTAGAAATTCACAATTTTTGTTTGTCTTCACCCATAGATGCTTTGTGCCAAATTTGGTTGAAATTGGTTCAGTGGTTGCAGAGAAGAAGCTGAAAATGTTCAAATGTTAACGCACGACGAACGACGGACGAAGAACGACGACGGACGAAAACGGATAGCAAAAGGTCACCTGAGTTTACTCAGGTGACCTAAAAACCAATACACAGAATAATGTATCTTAGTGTAGTCTACTTGTGTGCCAAGTTATATTGAAATCAGACCAAAACTGTAGGAGAGGTAGCATTTTGAATGTATTGCACCGACATTTCTATTTTTAGTAACCACGGCAACAACGTTCATCGAAATCAAAAACTGATACACAGAATTATCTATCTTAGTGTAGTCTACTTTGTGTCAAGTTATATTGAAATCAGACCAAAACTGTATGAGGAATAGCATTTTAAAGATATTCCACAGAAATTTCTATTTTTAGTAACCACGGCAACACCAATCATGGAAATCTAAAACCAATACACAGAATTATGTATCTTAGTGTAGTCTACTTGTATGCCAAGTTATATTGAAATCAGACCAAAACTGTAGGAGAAGTAGCATTTTGAAAAAAAATGTTTACAGACAGACAGATGGACGGACGACGGACGCATTACTATCGCATAAGCTCTTCTAAGTACATAGTTGTGATAAGCAAGAATGCCTCTTCCAAAATTTTGAATTTGATAGCCTGAGGGTCAGGGGTTCTGCCTTTACCAAAATTTCCATGCAAGTTTTCTGTTATGAAGGCGGATTTTCACGTAAATTCAATTGTTCAGTCATCAAGAAGCTTCCCTGGAACATGTATGTCTGAATTTCGTGTATATGCTTTTGGCAATTGCTTTTGACTATCTTGCATACAACCACTTGAGAGAAAGGCATTGTCTAGATATATATCCTTGTGCAAAACAAGCTCATGAAGAATTCTCACTCTTATCTCAATGGTCTGTTTTGGATCCTCGAAAGCAAATATGCTGCCACTAGAGGCAAGAAATTTCAATCTGCCATTGTTTTGCAAGGATATTGAGTACGTGTATTTGGTACATCAGCAGGGTAAAGATCCATTGCATTACACAGCACAGAATTTCGTCAAACTTTGCAGTTATTTAGGACACAATGTGTAGGTTTGCATATTACAAGGAAACTCGGATTCCTTTATTTCTTCCGGGAAATTTCCGCACTTTTCAACTTAGATTTTTGGTCATACCTTGAATATAGAGATGAACAGATTGTCAGCCGACTCCTCCTAAACCGCTGCACAGAATTTGCTCAAACTTTGAAGATATTTAGTACACAGTGTGTGTATATATGCATATTACCAGGAAATTCCGATTCCTTTATTTTCTGGGAATTTAGGGACTTTTCAACTTTAATGAGATTTTTGGCCATACCTTGAATAAAAAAATGAACAGATTGTCAGCGCAACTTCTCATAAACTGCTGCACAGAATTTCGTCAAACTTAGCGTATTACCAGAAAATAGGGATTCCTTTATTTTTCCCGGCAAATTCAGCACTTCGAGTTTTCGGGGACTGTGGGGTATGTGAGCTTGCTCACTTTTTCTTTCATTATTAAAAAAAAATATCTGTTTAAGATAAAAAAAAAAGAACCAAAATAGAATAAATATCACACATTATAAATTGAAAAATAATTTTAAAATTCAATGAAAGTCACATTTTTTTTTCTGTTTTTAAGAAAATTTGTCTGTACTGTTACAGTGTGATGTCTTTCCTGTAACAAAATCACTTTTTCATGTTTAATAATATAAATTTGAAACAACAACTTCTTTTTGAGAGTGTATTCATTTCAGAGACTACTTTATTAAAAAAAATTATGATTGATTGATTTTATATTGTTTAACATCCCTCTCGAGAATTTGAAAAATTAATTGCCAGATTAATGATAAGATAAGACTTAACTCGCCATTTTATTATAATATTAGTCTTTCCTGATGCAAAAATGGTCTTTACTGTTTCGATTTTACATGTAACAGGATGAACAGTAACAGGATAGACAATTACTCTATGAATATTTATTTCGCTTATTGGGTACCATACAAAGTTGATAATGAAATAGCTATGAAACAAATTTTTTATGTTATTTTGTAGGGAAAGTTACAATTTCTTAGTTCATGTTGAAGTTTATTTTCAGTGTAACAGGAAAGACCTTTTTTTCTACTGAGTAAATCATATTTACATTTTGGACATTTTCTTCAAACCCACCAAATTTGAAAATCTAGAGACAACAACTTGGCTTCTTGTAAATGAAATCGAGGCTGATAGTAAGTTTGGAACCAAGAAAGGTTCATACTAAATATTTCTATTTTTCTAACAGCATAACAGGAGAGACAAACTCATGGAACACACATTTAAGCTTTCATTTTTTTAAAAAACAGGCATATCTAAAAATTATTTAAGTGTTTGTATGGCATATGTTAAGAATGATTTAATGCATACAACAACAAAAAATGAGAACAAAATGAACTGAATATGGTTACAACACACTTGTGAATTTAGCACGAAAGTGTAGGAGATGGAAAAATATGCTTGTATAGGCATTTGTAAATGCAATTTTTAATATATTATGCAGCAACAATGCACAAGTTTATATTATTCTTACTTTCTTTATTTTTTATTGGTGGGTGACCAAAATTTTGACTGATTTTGATAATAATGACTCTTGTAGGAACCCACACAACTTTATCCCCTTAAACTTTGCTGCAAGGGGACAACGAAGTCACTAAAACACTATTTATCTATCGAAATGAACGCAAATTAATCACCTAGTCTGCTAATCTGTTCCTTATTTAGATGTTATACTGACAAAAGATGATAGTCGCCCTCGTGACGCAGTCTTTAGATCGTTTACTTTTCAAAGGAGTTCAACCCTTACGTCGCTGTTTAAAATTCCCTCCGAGAGTCATGGAGACCGGTTCTTTGGATATTGTTTAACGTCCCTCTCGAGAATTTTTCACTCATATGGAGTCCTTTGGATAAGACGGTATAATCGTAGATCAGTCGCAACACGAAGGCGTTGGTACGGGAAAAAAAAATCCCCAAGTACTGAGTTAAGGTCTAAATTATCATAAATTGGTTTGTTTGTTTAGGACGTGTCAAGGATAACAACCCCTTTCCAGGCACGTAAAAGATCGTTTCTCTGGATTCCGAAAAATACTAGGCTCACCAATGGCTGCCAGAGAAACCAAAAACTTCAAAAATGGTCATACATACTTTGTTAGCTCGCCGAAATATGGCTGAAATATTGCGACTCGGCGTGAAACACTAATAATCAATCACCAGACAGTACTATTCAATGTACTCTTCTCGAGTTTTTCATTAATGTAGAGACTACGAACTGCCGGTTGAGGGCTGCAAGCGCCAACTTATAATTAATCGATGCCCAAGAGCATGTTCTAATGAAGCATATCATTCTGATTCAAGTACGAAGATATCTGAAATTTAGAAATGCTACTAAGAAGATGATATTATAGGGATTTCTACAGCCTCGTTAAAAAAATTAATGTTCGTTATTTTGATCTTGATAGCAAGTATAACTTGGCATTTGATGATATATTGGTTATAAACCAATGGCAAAGTCTTTTTTTACCTTTAATTCCCAAATGACTTTGGTAAAGGACATCGTATTAAGCATGTTTGTCAGTTTAAATATTCGGGGTTTTTCTTTTAACAAACATACTAGAGTCCCCCATCTTTGATTTTCAAGAGCATAACGTTGGATATTCTATGTAATACTCTTACTTCATATTGGCATTTTTACAAGGCAGATATGTTTTAGACCCTAATATGATAATATATGTTTTAATATATATCCGGATTTTGTTTTTTAAAGATGATTTTTGATTGTTTTGTTCTAATATTACGCCATTTAATTCGAAAATGACAATTTTTAATACTAATTTGTGATTGAGTGATCTATAAAAATCAATCAGTGCCAAAATGAATCAGTTGAAAGGGATTTGACAAAAAGTCATGTGCTCGATACCTTTTTGTTGTTCGCAGATGTACGATCTCGGTATGTTACAATCTACAGTTCTCCAATGGCCAAAGAAGATCCTAATACATCTTTGAGTGGAGGGCTTGTCCGGTTCGTTGCCCACTGAATCCCAGATTGTCCAATCCGACGGAGCCAACGGCTTACAATCATCCCAATAAAATTCTGTGGTGGATCCACTGTTTATATCATGCAATCCGAGCCAGTAATCCCCTGTAAGACTTAAGGAGACAAATTTTACCTGCTTAAAGTAAACTACATTTAAAAAAACTAATTGTCAGAGATAAAATATGAATGTGTTGCAAATGATTTTAATTTTCTATAAATAAAATATAAACACTAGAATCCAATAAAAAATGAAAATTAAGATCATGGCAACTATAACAACATCAGAAGTGGGATCAGGTGTTTTGGAAAAGTAAAGCATCCCTTGCCGACCGGTCACACCTGCAGTGTTCTCCTTCATATGAAAGAGTGAACAGGCAAAAATAAATCCGAAGTCAGTTTAGGTTTCAAAGTAATGGCCCAAAAATTTGTCTGAAAATTCAACTAAATGATTGCAATAGCTGACAATGTCAATGTATCGACAAAAGTATTTGCAAAAGTTGACTTTTAATGAGACTGTGGAACTGAAGACATAAAAGATTACTGTCAGATAATCTTAGCGAGTAAAATTAAAGTACTCAGAAGTACAGAGAGCCGGGCTCATTTTCAGAGTAGAATGAATTTCTTACATAAATCATACGTTTATATTGTATTAAGAGATGAATAACAAGAATATCAGATTAAAAAATCCGATGAAAAAAATTATTTTAAAACTATCAATATAAATGATAAGACACTGACAGTGAGTTTTCGATCCTATTACCACGGTCCGATTTTGTCACAATCAGAATTAATCTGGTACCGCATCTGAATGGAAACAAACAGACCAGTCTGGTTCCCTCTCCTGCTTTTCCTCGTATGTGTAGGGAGCTACGATAACACTGATTATCAAAAATCCTTACGCTAATGAACTATCACGTTCTTTGACTTAAGACTGAAGTTTTCAGAGTCATTACTACTAATGTTTATTTATTTAGATAAAACTTCGTTTTATTTTGTTGCTTTATTTAGCGTATGTATTATCTCAAAAGCGGTTGAGAGTAAGAACTATATTTTTGCACGTAACTTTAAAATGGCGACTATGGGGTTGACTTCCTGTTTTGAACAGGATGACATGAGCTCTTTGAGCAATAAGCCCGGCTAAAAATTATATTTAATATGTAATGGTAATAACAGCTTGAAATGAAATCAAAGAAATGAATGTCAAATAATAAAATAAAAATAGCATTTTTACTTACAAATCAGTAAGTAGGTTTGTAATAGCGTTGAATTTTTCAGGTGTGTCTAAAGTCAGCATTTTCTGTCCTTTCATTTTACACAAGTCTTTGGCTTCGTTCCAGGTAACTGCCTGACTATGAACTGTGATGTCGTCCAGCTTCAGCAACTGACTTGATATCCCTGGAATAATATTTTTCGTTATTAGGGACAAAGAAATTATGATGATAGTTACATTTTTAAAAACAGTCTGACATAATTTTCCATTTTAATTTCGGTAAAAATCTTTCGAACAAAGAAGGAGAGGGCTGTTACAATGCACTTTGAAAAATTACGCACTTTGAAAAAATAAAATTTCTTTTCAAAGTGCTTTAATATCGACAATATTAACGCACTTTGAAAAAATGTGTATGCATATCTTACGTATAATAAATAATTGAACCTCTTTAATAACTTTTCGGTGATAAGGTCACTTCAGGATGTGAAAGTGAGCGATTTTGATTTTTCCATAATTTGAAATTTTTATGCTTTCTCTCTTAAATGTTTTACTGTAATTAATTTTTTCCAGTTTGTATGCGTTTTATGTCAACTAACATTTATTGAGCGTCATACCAGTTAAACAAATACATATATTTGGGTATAGCATAGGCATCGGTAGCAAGCTGGGGGGGGGGGTTAAGCACACAAATGATTTGCGAAGATATACATAATAAAGGCATTGAAAATTAGGGCTTATCTTGGGGGTCCATTTTCAATTTGCTACGGCTATGTACAATGTATAAAAGAGAGAGAGATAGTTGGCCGAGAGATCTTCTACTCGTCAGTCGTCTTCTCCTTGTTCTTAGTGAGGTTAAGTAATTACATGTAAATTAAAAAGTTTTTCGAAAGCTATAATTATTAAAATTGAATCTTTTAATTACTAACATCTAAGTCTAGATTTTTTTTTAATTTTATACATCTTTTTTTCAAAGTGCGTTATATGTCCCTATGATAAAAATATTTATGTACACTCTTAACGCACTTTGAAAAATTTTTTCAAAGTGCGTTAAGTGTATCCCAAATTTAACGCACTTTGAAAATTTTTTTCCAAAGTGTGTTGATTTTGTCCCAATTTTAACGCACTTTGAAAAAAAAAATTTTTCAAGGTGCGTTGCCACAGAGGGCTTACATATTCTGAATGCATTTCAATATGACAAGACTTTGCAGTATATATTTAATATGAACCTGTCGTTTGCCGCATTTTCAGATGATTCTTGATAAGGCTTTCATACACCTCATGTGTATTCTCTGCAACTAAACTTGAACATTTAAAAATTTGAAATTAGTGTATTTTTATGAATACATGACATGCCTCATAAAAGAATGTGCTAAAATTACAAGCATCTGCGATGAGTCCTTGCTGAGAAAACTGTTTCGAAATTTTGTTATTCATGTTACAGAAGGTTGACATCGGATTTGAACAAAAATGAATCATACCATATGGCATGCTTCAGCAAAGATTGTGCTTAAATTTCAATTATCTGCAAGGAGTAGTTGCTGAGAAAACTGAAACGAAGAAATTTTTATGCATGGTACAGACGGACACACGGCTAAACAGGAAGTTGACATCGGTTTTGAACAAAAATTGATCTCACCATATCGCATGCTTCAGCAAAAAATGTGCTTACATTTCAAGCATCTCCGATGAGTAGTTGCTGAGAAAACTGCGACAAAAATTTGTTAAGGGCAGACAGACACACAAGGGTAAAACAGTACACTCTCTCTTTCGGAACTGGGGTATAATAAGAATGTAGTGGTAATGACAATTTTGAGTATGTAGCGGTAATGATACATGTACGCATCCTTACAACATACATGTACATGTATTAACACTTACATAACATTGGAATGTTGTTCCATGTCAAAGTGAATCAATCGATGTTCTTCAAGTACGATTTTATTAGCTTCTTTTAACATATGCATTGATTGATATTTTAAAAGTATTTCTTTGCAATTTTTAAATGAATATAGATATGCTTGTAAAATTTACTTTGTGTATCCTGTTTCTGAAGTAACCAGGGATCCACGTACTAAAACAACACGCTTTAGGTTTAACCTTATAATTGATTTTCTCCCCATTTAGACAATAAAATGCTGTATGAAAATTAATGTGCAGCTGTTGGAGAAAATTATTTTTTTCTGCAATAACTGCAACAACAATTCCCATACTAATACGTATTACTGTGAAATTTGTACATGTACCTATAAGACCACCTTTACAATAATGTTGTTTGTCCTCTCACGACTCAGGATAAAAAAAAATTGTAGCGGAAGGAGGTTTTTCCCCAAAAAATTTCAACATCATGCTGAAATTTCAAAATTTATTTCCGGAATGCAGAAAAAATGATTATTTTTTAAGTCAGTCCATTTTTAGCCAATCGATCGGGAGAGGGCAAACATTTTCTTTCAAGATAGCTTAAGGTGAAGCAGTTAAATATTGTATTTTTGAAACGTACCTCATTACATATTTCATTGATGAAACAGTCGCTAATCAAGAAATATACACTTGTGGTTAGTTTAACTGTATTAACTTTGTGGTTTTATGAAGAATTAAAGGAGATCATCTTAAAGAGAAGCTGTGCCGCAAAAACGGAAAAATAAAAAAATATATATATAATTTTTGCAAGGCTCATTCAAATTTTGTTTAATTCTTTAAAGTATAGGGTTTCATAAAATTATACGTATCATTACCTAAAATATTTATATATATACAGAGAAAAATTATAATTATAGTATGCCTTACCACAAAAATATTGTTCATTCCTCCCTCCATGTTTTAACTTACGTGCAAAAAACATTTTCTATTTTTAGTAACCAGGGCAACATCGTTCATGGAAATCAAAAACCGATAAACAGAATTATGTATCTTAGTGTAGTCTACTTGTGTGCCAAGTTATATTGAAATCAGACTAAAACTGTAGGAGGAGTAGCATTTTGAAAAATTGTTTACAGAAAGACAGACGGACGGACGCCGGACGCATTACTATCGCATGAGCTCTTCTAGTAGAAATCTTTAAGAGTCATTCTCTGTAAGCATCAAAATGGGCTGCATGGAAATTGATTCACATGGATTTTGCTGAAACTTGGTGAAATAATTACATTATAAGCCCTATTTACAAAAATATTATTAAAAGTGATCAATTGGTCTTGTTTCCATGGCAACCAGGTTACCTGCTTTTGCACATAGGTGGTAAACACCTAAAATGATATTTCTTCCCATTAATGTACATTTAATTAAATAATGGTGATTATTATTATTCTTTCCTTTGAAATAATTTGTTATTTGTATTTTCTATACAAAAAAGTTGAAAAATATTTTTTGGACCTGCCGGTAATTGCAAAATAACATAAAAATTGCTTTAAAAAAGGGGGTGGAACATAACGATGTACACAAAAAACGCAGGCACTGGTGGAATATTCTGATGCTCTGAATTTCATCTTATACATTTATGAAGAACATATGAAAAAACTGGAGAGGTAATGTTTACTTTAAGAAAATAAATTGATTGTAAAGTTTGTAAAAATCTCTAAATTTACACACATTTTTGTCAAGAGTTATTTCCCCTTTCGGTAATCTTTTGCTGAAATCTATGAAAATGAAAGTGAAAGTACACAGCAGAAAACGACTTTGAGGTGTAAATACTGTCTGTTTTGGATATTTTCAGGGATTTTAATCCAATTTGTGAAGTATTTAACATTATCCATAGTTAAACTGTCAAATGATTGTTCAGACTTTACTGTGTCTGAGAGATATACATATTTGTGTATAGAAGTGATAAACTTAAAAATGGATTGCATCCTATGAAAATTCCTGCCTATGTGACAACAAGTGCTGTATCATTGAAAAAAGTGTTTAAAAACAAAAGTAACGTCAGTAAAATGGACTTCAGAGCTAAGGGTTGGTTAATAATTAATAAAGGTTGTGATGACATATACATGGCAATAAGAAGATCACTAAACAAGTACCAATGAAATATTTACCACGTACATTGAAAGTTGCACATATTTTGTGTGAGTTTATAAATAATAGGGCATGACTATTTAATGTAAAAATAACTTAAAAGTACCCAAAGCATAAATATTGGCATTATTCTAATTATATCAATAATTTATAGTATAGGCATATTATCAATCTTATTAAAATCAGATGTTGATGAAAATAATATAAACCATCTGTCAATAAAAATTATATATGTTAACCGAATTAAACTAAAGCAATTCTGTATATGACAAAAGCTAACTACTGTAGACGTACTTTTTTCCACGGGGTCATAATTCCGCGGTATCTCAATTTTCTGTTTAATCCACGTGTAGAAAATAACGCGGATTTCATAGACTGTCATTTTATGCCTTACGTTTATATTAAGTACGCTTGGACAAATTTCCGTGGAATTTGTAACCGCGAACATAGCGTAAATTAATACCACGCGGAAAAAAGTACTTCTACAGTACCTCATAACAGCTTTTTAATTGTGTGCTTCAAAAAAAGGCGGGGGGGGGTAATAAGTTATTGCCATGCAAGGTATTTCAATTTTTTAAAGAATTAATTTCACTTATTTTTTCATTTTTTTTTTTAATATATTTTTTTTTGTTTTTACATGAATCACATCGCTAAACTGAACACGTGACAGAACTGCAAGTTTCTTTTAGATTTCAGTTTGTGCAGGGCTGAAATTTGTTGATGCAAATTTTTTTTGAATGGGGATCGATCATCGTGGGTGAATGTGCCCTTTCATTTAGGATCTTAAAGTTATTGCAAAAAAATGAAAGAACATAGAAATTTATTTCTTTAATATCAGGTTATTTTATTGCAACAAAGAAAAAAAAATAAATTATTTAATTATTAAGATTTTTTGTCATAGCAAAGACTGTCACAGTTGAATTTAAGCCAAATTTATAATACAATGTGTACACTTTACTGAAACAATATATATAATAATGAAGGAATACATTAAGGTTTACAGGGAAATATGGCAATTTTCAGTGGAGAGGAGTTCCTTTTACGTACATGCGGAAAATGGAGATATGTAAAATGGTCGTTGTTGAATCATAGATTTATGTGCCCAAATTATAGCTGAGAAAGAAAAATATTATATTTGATTTTGTCATATTTTATCACAGGAGTTCGGGTACCTATCAATTTTACCGAAATTTTCAGTAAATAAAAAAGATACGTAATACCTATAATTATAGCTATTACGTATCTTTTTTATTTACTGAAAATTTCGGTAAAATTGATAGGTACGCGAACTCCTGTGTATTTCATGAGGTCATCTCAGTATTCCATTTATCACAGACTTTATGTTCTGGAAAATATTTTTAAGAAGCTGTCCAAATAGTTTTAGATAAAAATAGGTTATTTAACTTGAAAAAAATATTAATACAAATAAATCAAGCCCCCCTCCCCCTTTTAACATATTGGAGGAGGGGCTGGTAACATTTTATTGCCCCCTCACTTTAAACCCTCAGAAAACTATTTCAGATAATTATATTTTTCCCTGTCATATATCGATGTATACTTAAGGTATTAATATTACACTCACTTTGAGTCAAAATGAGGTTCCCTGTTGATTGAATTTCAAAAGATTATAGGGAGTTCACTCCCAGGGGCATAGTTTTGGACCTAATAAGAGCGGCGGTGGTTTGTATTATTATATGCTTTCCATCAATTCAAATATACAACAAGTAAAATTGATGCAAAGCATCAAATCGGCCGCAAACAAAATTTAGCATTTCAAAAAATACTTTCACAATTTAAAGCATCCATACAAGGAAGGCATAAGATATGTTCAAAGCTGAAATATAACACAAATAATGATTGTTTTTATTTCAGGCTGTCTTCAAAGTAAAATAAATATTAAATAATTTTCAAAAATTAAGTAGAAGTTTTAGTGCACTTGCTCATCAAATGGATTCATCGATGTAATAATGATTAATGGTGTTTTATCATTATCAAAATGAAGATGTAGGCATCTCAAGATGAACCACGTGCTGATACCCTGGATCTTTGTCATAATGCCAATAGTTTCTGCAGAGTAGGCTATGCTGCAAGACTCGGTGCAAAATTTAGGAATAAAAATATCCTTGTATCATCGTACAGCTGTAGCACATTCAAAACAAAATTTACCAGGTGAACAACTTTATAATTTTTTATCACCATGTACTTTTACAACGTCATTATTATCCGGAAAGTCATGACGATTTCTTTTCATATCTTACACACTCCCAGGTTGGGGAGTATCTATTGTAAACTCTTTTTATTTATCCAAAAATAATCAAATATCTGATGAGAAATGATAATGAAATTGAGATATAATAACATCAATTAATACTAAGTTTAAAGCAAGTTTTTAGAATATAATACTAATGATTTTATACGTGTTATCATTTAAGATTTATTTTACCGAACTAAAAAAAATAACGTCTCATTTCCCCATGTGCACTTTCTAACACTACCACAAATAGATCGGCCGCTGCTGCGGCCGATAATCAGTAAACATTTAAGGTAATGATGAATTAATATCAAAAAGTACAAAATCTAGCTTTAAGATAGAAGAATTTCTTTAGATATTAATTGTAATTAAATCATTTAATTTTTCAATCGTCGATCGTGAAATTTTTTTTTTTTAAATGGTCTAATTTCCTTATGAGGTTAAATTGACTTACGAGCATATAATTTCCCAAACGAATGTGTTTCTAAGACGTAATAGAATCGCAACAAGTGACGAAGTGGCCGCTTATTACAGTGTCAGTTAGGCTGTAGGTGATGATTTGAGTGGCCGCTGGCCGCGTTACACAAGTGGCCGTTTATTCCAGTTAAAATAAAAAGTAAAAATCGTCGGGGGGAACTAAAAGTGGCCGCTGACGGCGAGTGGCCGCTGATTTCGGGTGGCCGCTAAGACAAGTTTGACTGTAATTGCACTTTCCCTAATACTTATTTTAACCTCTTTGCCTTAATGAGAAAGAAAAAAATCACAAAATCTTCAAATTACATACTGAATTTTGATTGTCATTCTTAATGTGTATGAAGGACACCTATCTCTGCTGGGAAAACGTCAACAATTTTTTTTATGTATGGGACGGACAGACACACGGATAAACAGGAAGTTGACATCATATTTAAACTCAAATGTTACCCACCATGCATATGGCATGCCTTAGCAATTACTGTGCTAAAATTTCAAGCATCTTCAATGAATAGTTGCTGAGAAACTGCAATCGAACATTTGCTACGTACAGACACACAGGCAGACAGCTAGACAGACAGACGGACGGACTGACACACAAAGGTAAATCAGTATACCTCCCTCTCCTTCGTAGCGGTGGTATAAAATTCCTTACGAAAGGAACAGCAAAAGATCATTTCAACAACAGCAAAAACAAGTTGAATCGAGGAGGGGGGGGGGGTCACTCTTGACTATGCGATTTTCCTACTTAAACTAAGAGGTGCATGTATATGTTAAAACATTTGTATACTGTAGATTCCTAATTATACGCGAGGAATTAATTTCCGCGTAATTTCGCGAGAAGCATCACTCGCGAAAAAATATTACTCGCTTTTATTTTTATGGTGTTAAAATCTATGTAAATTCTATTAATAAACCGTCCATTCGCGAATTATAATTCTCGCGATTTGACGTTAAACAGCCAGTTCGCGATAAAAAGTACTCGCGAAAAATAAGGAATCTACAGTATATGTTTTAATTAATAAAGCAAGTTGCTTCCAAAAGATCGGTCATGATTTTATGTAGGTATTTATTGTTTCCATGGAAACAAATCCTGCTGCATTCCTGAATTATTTGGTTACCATAGCAACCTTTTTTTTAAATTATGAATTTCTATTTTCATGTTAGTGAAATGACAAGGTTTACATGGTTTATGGAATTTTTTTCATTGAAGAAGTTATATAATCATGCAATAAAGCAGTAGTTTTGTATATGAAACATATCAATGATTTGTATATGAAACATATCAATGAAAAGGATTTTCCTGAACTATTGGCTGCCATAGCAACCATTTTTTTCAAATAAATTAAAAATTAATATTTTGATATTTAGTGAAATACAATTAAATTCAATTCATTTTATCGAAAAAGAGAAAAAAAAATCACGAATGAAGCTAATATATTATCCGTTGTATACTTGTCAGTATCACAAAAAATGTGATAGCAACCATTATAAGGAAGTGTTCAAAAACTATTTGGTTACCATAGCAACATGATTTTAGACGTTTGAGTTTTTATTTATTTCTTTCTTTAAATGTACATAAGTGAAATAACAAATATAATAAGTGTTATCTATTTATTGAAGAAATTAAATCATGCACTGAGGCCACGGATTCTGCAAAATGTGTTTTTCCTGACTTTTTGGTAGCTAAAGTAACACATTATTTTTGTTTAATTTTTATGAACTTATATTTTTATCATAAATTCATACAGTGTAATATTTCAAAAATATGAGGTTTAGTAGTGTGATTTGTTTTACTTTTGATTCTTTTTAAAGCTATAATGGACAAAAAAGAGCCAAATGATGAATCTACAAATTAATCCAAAATCTCCATAGCAACCGTTTTCGTTTTATTTTATTTTAAGAAATATCACCTCTCTAGAAATTTTATATTTTGTTGAGTAAGGAATGACCTTTTCAGTGATGGTTGTTGTTTGTTATGGATTGCCCACGTTTTCTTGCTACTATGCTTAGAAAATGCCAAAAATTGGCATTTTCTCAAATTTGTTAAAATTTGAAAAATTCACTTTTCACTGAAAGACAACTCTTTTATGTCCAACTACTGAATAATTTCATCAGTTGTGGTAGTTACTCAAATAGATATTCTATCAAAGTAGGCAACAATTAAATCTGTAAATAATGTACAGAAAATAGATATTTATGATGAAGATGGTATACTTTCAATAGGTTGCTCTGTATTTTTGGCCTCAAAATGGTGGTTTTGGTTACCATGGCAACCGGGACTCAAAACAAAAAATTAACCCCAAAAATGTTCTATACATGGTGTTTCTACGTGGGTTGTTCGAAAAGTTCGTGGACGATGTCCATCTTCCTTATATTACTCAATGGAAATTTAAAACAAGCACATTATAATTTGTTTTGTTGATTTGTGAAGATTCATTCCATTCGATTTAACACAAATAAATTTACTTCATTTTAAAATCAACATGTTCTGTACCCGCGGAGCAACATAACGTCAATGAAACGTCAACATATAGCGTCGAGAATTTATAATAGATACTATACCTATATACATTTCACACAGAATATTCCATTGCCCATTCATTAAATTCTTTTTCTAATATTTGACATTTATTTTCTAAGAATTGATCTCATTG